CCTGCACACAAATATTTATAGCTGCTTTATTCATACTTGACAAAACCTGGAAGCATCCAAGATATCTTTCAATACGTGAGTGGATAAACAAGCACTGGTATATTCATACAATGGAATATTATTCAATGACAAAAATAACTATGAAGCCGCAAAAAGACATGGAGAAACCTTAAAAGCATAGTACTAAGTGAAAAAAGCCAATCTAAAAAAGGCTGCATGATTCCAACTAGATGACATTCTGGAAAAGGTAAATTTACAGAGACAGTAAACTTATCAGGAGTTTGGAGGGAGAGAGAGATGAGTAAGTGAAGCATGGGAGATTTTTAGAGCAGGGAAACTATTCTGTATGATACCAAGTAATTGTGGATACATATCGTTATACCTTTGTCAAAACCCATAGAATTGTACAATACAAAAAGTAAAACCTATGGGCGCCTGGAGGCTCAGTCAGTAAGAGCATCCAAATCTTGATCTCAGGGTTGTGAGTTTGAGCCCCACATTGGGTATAGAGATTAGTTTTTATGAAAAGATTTTTGAAAAGTGAAACCAGGGCACCTGGGTGGCTCAGTTGGTTAGGCATCTGCCTTCAGCTCAGGTCTTGATCCTGGGTTCCTGGGATCAAACCCCACACTGGGCTCCCTGCTTGGCGGAGAGCCTGCTTCGCCTTTTCCCTCTGCTGCTCCCCCTGCTTGTGCTCTCTCACTCTCTCAAATAAATAAAATCTTTTTTAAATAAAATCATTAATAAAATAAAAAAGTGAAACCTATTGGAAACTATGGATCTTAGTTTTTTATGGCTCATCAATTGTAACAAATGTGTCACACAAACACAAGATATAAATAATGAGGGAAACTGTGTGTTGGGGTGGGGAGGGAACCCTTGGTACTTTCTCATCAATTTTCCTATAAACCTAAAACTGCTCTAAAAAAATTAAGTTTTTTTAAAACACGTGCGGCCAAAGATTGTAGATGAACTGATGCCTCCTAAGTTCCCCATATACCTAAACCTATACTTCTGATCTTCTGTCATCCCATAACGTCTCTAAAGAGGTTTATCTGCCTTGAAGAATTAACTTTCTCAGTCAGGAAGGGGGTTTCAGGGAAGAGGAGCAGATGCTGAATATGAACAAGATCATGGAGAGAATCATGGGAATTATCAGTGAAACCAGTTGTTCTGGTTTGAAATCTGGTTTGCCCTCTTGCTTGCTCAAAGGTTCATTCCACAGTGTTTGAGCTTCTACTCTGAGCTAAAGTTCTGCGCTGGGAACGGAAGGCATAAATGGCAACAAGCCACAGTTCCTTCCCACAAGGCAGTCACGATCCAGAGGGAGACAATGACAAGTAAACAAGCAGTGACATGACTGTTCACTGTGCTGTTACATCTACATTACATACATTGTAAATTCAGGGGTCTGGGGAGGAGGATCTCAGGAAGGAGTATCCAACCTTGCCTAGGTTTGATCAAGTTAGACTCCCTCCCAGAGGAGGTGAAATGGAAGCCAAGCCTCAAAATTATAAGCAGCAGTTAAGAAATGGAAATGCCTCCTGGGCTTGGTCGGGGATCTGGACACAAAAAAGAACGGAGCCTATTGGAAAGCTGCAATCGGGTCACTGTGGAATGTAAATAGTGTGTGTGTGTGTGTGTGTGTATGTGTGTGTGTGTGTGTGTGTTGGGGTTGGGAGATGTGGAGGATAGAGGTGAAAATGGCTGGAGAGGCAGGCAGGGACTGGTCAGACCCAAGCCTTTGACCTTAGTAATGCCTACTCAGCCCAGCCAGACCCGAAAAGCCTGCTCCCAGGAGTCTGCGCCTAAGGCAGATGATGCATCTTGGGGAGACTCACCAAGTCTTTTTTTTTAACACATTTGGTAGAAGAAGTGATCATATAATTACAGTGGTGATAATTAGAGGAACTTCCATTGCTTCTTTCAACAAACATTGCATAAAATGTGGCCCTCTCACGTCGTGGGCGGGGTTCAAGGGGTGGGGAAGCCAGGCATCCCTTGTGGGGGAAGCCAACGCCTGTATCCATCTCCTGCCAAGCACACCTGACTACCCAGCTGAGGCCCAGAGGTGCCATAGATACACCTGGGACTGCTCCAGTGTGGAGCTGAGTGCTGCTGGCGGGGGGAACTGAAAGCCACTCCCCAGGTTCCCCAGGCTGAGCAGACTCCAGCCAACCCACAGGCTTCAGATTTATTTCATTCTGACCTTCAAACCTGCAGAGATTCTGCCCAGGACCTGGAGGTGCCTTTTACATCTTGGCAAACTTAGCCTGAGATGCTCAAGCCACTGGTCTCTGGGCTCACATTTCTTCTTCCTAAGACCACATACATGGGGTCTCGGTGGCCTGGACATGCTCCTAGCCCTGTCAAATGCTGTTTGACTTCTTATAAAATCTGCATTCACATGTTTATCCAAGAGACACCTTGAGGGCCTCTGGTTTAGATGGAGAGAAGAAAACCTTTTTTTTTAAGATTTTATTTATTAATTCATGAGAAACACACACACACACACAGAGAGAGAGAGAGAGAGAGAGAGAGAGAGAGAGAGGCAGAGACACAGGCAGAGGGAGAAGCAGGCTCCATGCAGGGAGCCCGACGTGGGACTCGATCCCAGGTCTCCAGGATCAGGCCCTGGTCTGAAAGTGGCACTAAACCGCTGAGCCACTCTGGCTGCCCTGAAAACCTTTCTTTTTATTTCTAACCCCATACCTTCACCCCAAACTCTTCTCCCTCTTTTCTTCCACCAGGTTTTTCTCAGTGCAAAGAATGATCCTGTTGCTTCTGGGGAGGCCTTGATTTTCTTTCCTCTCTGCACCTCATTTTCCATCCATCCAATACCAACTTTTCACTTGGCATTGCCTTTAATAACTCACTGGGAACTAAAAACCAAGTGAATTGCCCAAAGGCTCTGTGTCTCTTTCTGTCTCATTAGCAACATGTCTGGTCTGTTTTGTTCTTAGTTTTCCAGACAAGCTTCTGTGCCTCTCAAAGCCACTTGTACCAATGATTTCTGGCCTTTCCCATTGGGGCCTGAAGCTTCACTCATGCTCCTTCCCATGGGGCCTGAAGCCTCACTCATGCTCTTTTGAGACTCAGAATGGCTGTGTGTCACATTTAAGGAGATAGTTGGCATCTGTAAAACACCAGGCAAAGCCATAAGAGCCAAATGATCATCAAGAATTTAGGCTCTCTGCCTTCCTATCCCCACGATATCCCCATATCCAGTGCTATTTATGGCTGGGCAGGTATTTGCAGGCTGGTTATCTTTCTGTCAATGGTCAGAGGAAGGACACCCAGTGGACTCTTATTTTCTTGGGGCCCTGCCTCAAACCCTCTTTGGGACTTTGATCTTATCAGCTGGCCCTTTCCCAGGGCTCTCTGGTGGAGCTTCAAGATACATGTTGAACCTGACTCGTCCTGGCACCTGGCAGTGGAGGAAGGAGGATGAAGGAGAGATTGCTCCTGAAGGAAAAGTGTACTTGGCTTTCTCGTTAATGGGTTCTCCTTGGGGAACAGGCAAGCAGCAGATGTATGGGCAATGGCCAACTGATCCATTTGTAGATAGATTCAGGGTGTGGTGTTCCCTCTAAGCCTGGGCAGGCCCTGGGAAACTGGAGCAGAGCTAGATCCCGGCCTGAAATGGGGCAGGCTGCACAGGAGCTGCAATATGCTGGTTTCAGGTGTGGGATCTCTGCCTCCCTTGGAGACTGGGGTCCAGAGGGCTAGTATGTCTGTTGCCGGAGTGTGCTTCTCAAACCTGGAGCTGCACTGATCGTTTTCATTCATGAACGTACTAACTGGCAAGGAGGCTTAGCTCGGCCCTTCAGAGTCTGGCTTCAGTGTGCCTTTATCATGAGTCCCTTCTCTCAACACTCCCCAGTACAAACCATCCATCCCACTCCTGGATCCAAGCTCACTCCAAGCCTTCACATCTTTGGGCCTTGTCTCATGCCATTCTCTCTTCCTAGAATGGCTTTTCTCCTAGTAAGCCACTCTGGAGAAGCATCCCCCCATGGCCAGAGGCTCAATACATCTCTCTCTCTCTCTCCTCTTATGCCCCAGATTTACTCTGTTGGTCTCTGGTCTAGCTCTATTATGTTTACTTCATGCCTGCCTCCAGTCTTGCCGATGGACAGTTCCCTGAACTTTCTGCTCCTGCACAACGAGCTCCGCTTCATCCTTCAGGTGTCAACTCCAATGCCATCTCCTCAGCTAGTCCTTCCTTGACCGCCCCATCTAAAGGCAGGCCCCATCCATACACACTCTGTCCCATTCATTACCTGGGATCATCGTCTTCATGACACTCAGCATCTGAAATTTTCTTGACCTATTTGTCGGCCTGGACTATGTCTCTTCCTCTAGAGTGTAAGCTCTTGGAGGGCAGAGATCCGGCAGGATCAGGTGATACGTGGTTGGTTCCCAATAAAATCTCTATTGATCAAATGAAGGCAACTATGGGCATTCAAGTTGGCACCCTGAGGACCTGGCTCAGAGCCCGGCGCAATAAAGGTTGGCTTCCTGGGACATTCGCTAAACGAATGAACGAACCAGAGGATGCAGCACTCCGACTGCAGACTGACGGGTTGAGCGACAGCTGGGGGCCCCTCGGCCCGCACACTGTGGATGGACCGCGACAGCTGAGTGGCAGCCAGCGGACGCGCACCGGGGCTCCTGATTGGCTGGCTGCTGCAGCCCCTTAGAGGGGAAGGGGAGGGGGCCCGAGGCGACAGCTCCGCGTGGGGAGGAGGCGGCACCAAGCGGCGGGAGGCGGCCCAACCGCCAGAAGCTGTGTGAGCAACAGTCGCCTCGAACCGGCGAACCGACGTCTCCGCGCAAGGGCCCGGCGCGAGGGGCGGGGCGCGCGCGTCACGTGAGCGTGTTTTGGGCACGTGATCCGCGCGGGGCCAGGGCTGGCCCCCGCCCCCTCCTCTCCTCCCCTCAGCGGGTGTGAGTCGAGCGGCCTCGCCTCACCGCCTAGCGCCCCCCTCAGCCGCCGCCGCCGCCGCCGCCGCCGCCGCCGCCGCCTCCGCCCGCCGGCCATGTCCCCGGGCCGCCGCCGCCGCCGCTCGTGCGCGGCGCTCCAGCGGCCCAGCGCGCAGTGAGCGCGGGGCCCTCTCGCTACTCGCCCGCCCCGGGGCCCCCTTGTTCTCAGCGCCGCCGCCGCCGCCGCCATGTTGGGTTTAGAGCCGCAGCGGAGCCGCCGCCGCCGCCGCCGGTAAGGGAGGCCGAGAGCGGAGCCCGCCCCGCCCCGGGGCCCAGGGAGCGGGGCCGCCTCGGAGCCCGGCCTCTCCCCGCCAGCCGCCTTCCCGGCCCGCCCGCCGTGCGAGCCAGCGAGCGAGCGAGCGAGCGAGCGAGCGAGCGCCGGGCCGCGGCCGCGCCTTCCGCTCCCGGCCCGAGCGAGCCCGCCGCCGGTTCGTTCCACCGCCGCCGCCGGGCCCGGCCAGAGCCTGCAGCGGAGCTCACGAGAGTCAGCGCCATGGCGGAGCAGACCTACTCGTGGTGAGTGCGGGGCTCGGGAGGCCGGGGCGCGGCGCAGGTGGGGGTCGGGGCGCCGACGCGGCCGGGTGGGGGAGAGGAGGAGGAGGAACAGGTGCGCGTCGCGGGGGGGCGCGGGTTGGGGGTGCACGCCCCCCTCGTCCCCACCAGAGGGGGCGGCTGGCGCTCGTGGAAGGTGGTCAGCGGCCGGGGACTCGGGAGTCCGAGAAGGGGGGTGGAGGCGGTGGTGGCCGCGGCGGATGTCATCCGGTCATGGGCGGAGCAGGTGATGGAGAAGGGGAGCATGACCCCAGAGGTGGGAAGCCCACGGATGGGAAGTTGAATCCCGTGGACACTCCGGAACTGACTTGAGGGGGTAGCTGCTGGGCAGGAGGATTGAAAGGGTGGGCAGAGGCGGGCCAGGGCAAGGGTGGGCCACCGGGCTGCGAAGAAGCTGGTAGGAAAAACAGGTGATAGGAGGCTGAACTTGGAAGTTGGAAGAGAGGAGGAGCCGTCTGACTGGGGCTGCTGCTTAGCACCTGCGTGGCGACTGAAGGGAGAGTTGGTAAGGTGGGCAGAGGCCCGGGTGTGATCGAAGGAAAACCACGGGAGGAACGTCTTGGGAACCATGGAAGGGAGTCCCTTGTGAGGAGGTTGGAAGGGGATCCTGTTTGGATAACCACATTCTGGAAAAGGAGTCGTTGGTGGCAAGTGGAGCATGAGTAGAATCTTTGTGAGGGTTGGTACTCTGTTCTTCGGAATTTAAAGTGGCCTGCTGCCCTGGATCAAGTATGGAGATGGAAGATCTGCAAGTTCATTTTTATGGGACTTCTAACGCTATTAAATATTTTGTTGAGGAATGAGAAGCGCACTGTGTGGTTTATGGAGTGAGAACTTAACCTATCCTGAGAAGGGAATGCAGTGTTTGGGGAGATGGGGGTGAGAGGCCTCCCTTTAGCATGTGGAGGTGGAGTATTTGCAGGGGTGGAAGGAATGACGGTAGCTTCCTTGAAGAGTGGAAATTGGATAGTGAGGAGGAAGGTAATAACTGAGGGTGAAGAAGGAAGGAATGGGATGGTAGTATGGGGATGGGAAATCTGGTTGCAATCTAGAGAGATTGTTTGAAGATGGTTTACTCTTTGAAGCAAATGTGGTTTGGGACAGAATTGTACTGCTTTCCCTTGCTAGAAAAGAGCACAATTGAGTGGGAAGAGCATGGCGTTTGGAGTTGGAAGATTTGGTTTGGTAGTCCCTCTTTCACCGCTAACTTGGTTTATAAGTAGGCAAGATAGTAAGTTCTCCATTCCTTTTCCCTTGCCTTTTTCATAGATTGTAAAGATTAAATGAATAACTTTAGAAAGCCAATGGAAAACTGTAAAGTGTTACATTTTATTACATTATCGTTAGGGGAACGACAAAGAAATGGATAATACATGAAAATAAAGAATGGTTTTAGGTAGAGGGCTTTAGTGGAGTGGATGCTTTGTGGTGCTTGAGGTTATGATAGATAAGTCAGGAACTCATTGTGTCTTCACATAGGGAAAGAGGATTGGTGATGGAAGATGATAATTCAGAAGGGAACTTCAGTGCTCAAAAAGAAGAAAACAGAGTCTGAAAGAAAGTCACACTAAAAGAAGAATTAAAACGTTGGTGAACAGTTGTGACTGCAGATGTATTTTTAAAAGCATTAACTGATTGGATAGTTTTGAGCAACAGTGAGCTGCCTTTCCTTAGCAGGTAATATGGAACACAAGATTACAGTTTGAGCTTTCTTACGGACAGAGTTAGAGTTAAGTTCTGTAACTAACTTAACTAACTCATCTTGAGCTCTTAACACTAACTGGTCTAGCTGAGAGTCCTGATGGCTGCCCTTCTGCTTTTACTGTGCCATATAGAGACCATGGACGGTTGAAGGAGTAAGCACAGTGGCCAAGAAGTGAGGAAAATGAAAGTGTTTTACTAGATAGTTGGCCACACACTATGTGATGTTGGATGGCTCTACTAGTTGGGGGGCGGGGTACTGTTTTGTGAAGTTTGATATTTTACAGTATTTATCTTACTAAAATACTTCCATCTCAGCTCCTTTTGCTTTATAGGCAAAGAAACTCATTGAAATTAGAATGTTTATTAGCCTCTCACCTTTAGCGAGTTTTGAGATGGAGAAAGTTTTTACATCATCTTGAGAGAGGGAGGTATATGAGGAGAGAGGATTGGGAAACCAGGCAGCTTTCTAGGTTCTGATAGTTACTGTAAGTAATATCCATGTTTCAGTCACCAGTCTCTGAGGTAGGTGAATGCTCTGTTTTATGGAAGAGGAAATTTAGGCTTAGGATGCCAAGTGATTTGATGAGATACTTCACTTGTGATGCTTTGTTTTGTTTGATACATTCTCCCATCATTGTATTCATTCTCCTTGTAAGTATGAAAAAGGTATTCCAAGAGTACATGTGAACTGAGTTTTGGAGTATCTTTTTTGCAGTATCTTTGTCACTGTTCTTTTGGTTTGTGCAAATAAGAGTTTGTTTTGTTTTGCTTTTTTATGGACTTGTACTACGTTTGCATGTGGCCATTAGGAAAATCAACCTTGTGGGGACTATTGTGGCAGTATAAATTGGTCTGAGGGTGGAGTCAGTGAAGAATCTTTTTAAAAAAAATTTTTTTTTATTGGAGTTCGATTTGCCAACATATAGTATAACACCCAGTGCTCATCCCGTCACCCAGTCACCCGTCTCCCCGCCCTCCTCCCCCAGAGTTAGGAGTCTCTCATGTTCTGTCACCCTCTCTGATTTTTTCCCACTCATTTTCTCTCCTTTCCCCTATAATCCCTTTCACTATTTTTTATATTCCCCATATGAATGAAACCATATGTCGGTCCTTCTCCAATTGACTTACTTCACTCAGCATAATACCCTCCCGTTACATCCACTTGGAAGCAAATGGTGGATATTTGTTGTGTCTAATGGCTGAGTAACATTGTATATATAGACCACATCCTCTTTATCCATTCATCTTTCGATGGACACCAAGGTTCCTTCCACAGTTTGGCTATTCTGGACATTGCTGCTATAAACATTGGGGTGCAGGTGTCTCAGTTTTTCACTGCATCTGTATCCCCAGTAGTGCAATTGCTGGGTCATAGAGTAGCTCTATTTTTAACTCTTTGAGGAACCTCCACACAATTTTCCAGAGTGGCTGTAGCAGTTCACATTCCCACCAGCAGTGCAAGAGGGTTCCCCTTTCTCCACATCCTCTCCAACATTTGTTGTTTCCTGTCTTGTTAATTTTCACCATTTGTCAGTGAAGAATCTAGAATGTAGATGTCAGAAGATTGAAAATAGTTTCCTTAGGATTTTCTTTTCTTGTCTTTTTTAAAAAAGATTTTATTTGTTTATTTTTAAAGATTTTATTTATTTATTCATGAGAGACCGAGAGAGAGAGAGAGAGAGAGAGAGAGAGAGAGAGAGAAAGAGGCAGAGACACAGGAAGAGGGAGAAGCACGCTCCATGCAGGGAGCCTGATGTGGGACTCGATCCAGGTCTCCAGGATCACGCCCTGAGCCAAACTCAGATAGATGTCCAACTGCTGAGCCACCCAGGAGCCCCTAAACATTTTATTTTCAAGCAATCTCTACACCCAACATGGGGCTTGAACCCATGACCCTGAGATCAAGAGTCACAAGCTCCACCAACTGAGCTAGCCAGGTGCCCCAGGATTTTAGTGTAATAAGATAGGTAAATTATAAAGCAAGATTGGTCATGTGGTAATTATTGAAGCTTAGTGATGAATACTTGAAGGTTTATTATTCTATTCTGTATATTTTGACATGTTTACATTTTTCATAATAAAAAGTTAACTTAAAAAAAAACTTCTATACATGCTATTCATGCTGTTTTCTGGTTTCTTGTGCTTGCTTTCTGTGTTGAGAAGCTAGAGTGGGTGTATTGACTTAAGAATATGTAGGTTATGACCTGATGAATGAGGGGGCACAAGCCATCCAGGTATTTGGCAGATACCTCCATCAGCATCTGAGCTCCCACTTTAGGAAGATGAAATTCAAGGGGTCATTTCAGTTGAAGGTGCAGTTTCAGTACACTCATACAGTGGAAGTACAGTAGTCCTCCATTATCTGTGGGGTTTACATACCAGGAACCCAGTGGATGTCTGAGACCAAGGGTAGTACCGAACCCTGTATATACTATGCTTTTTTTATACATACATATGTATGATAAAATTAAGTTATAAATTAGGCCTAGTAATAGATTAACAACAAATAAAACAATTATAGCAACATACTGTAATAAAAGTTACGTGAATGCAGTCTTCCTTGAAGTATCTTATTGTACTGTATTCACCTTTGTGATGACAGATGAAAAAATGCTTAAGTGATGCGATGAAGGGAGGTGAATGACATAGAGGTTGTGACGTAGCGTTAGGCCGCTATTGACCGTATGATAATACATGAGGAAGAGGATCATCTGCTTCCAGTCTGTGGTTGACCCTGGTAACTGAAACCATAGGGCCCAATGAGCCAGGGAACGGGCAGTTCTCTGTCCCAGGTAGGTCATGAGCAGGAGATACAGAGCAGGGTAGCAAACAACTGTTACTTACAAGGTGATTGGTGTTCAGGTCAGTAATTTGGGGGGCTTACCTCTAGTGGTTATTATTAAAAGGTGCCCAGGGAAAAGCAAAGCAGGGACTTAGAGTGTGCATCCTAAACTCAAATCCTCATCTAAATATCCAGACTCTAGTTGTGATTACAAATATCATACTGTAAAATGGCAGCAACTGAGAAAAGCAGCGTTCTTGTCCTCCAAAGTTGTTTTCCTTATCATACTTTATTCCTAGCAAAGTCTATCAAAATCTCGTTACCCAAGGGTTCACCTGAAATTCCACATATCTGAGAAGCATTTCTATATCCAACTGATCTCTTTATATTTGATATTTGTAGTCTGTCTGCATTTTTGCTACTTTTATGTGTTTGAATACCTAGCCTCTTCATTAGATTGTAAGCTCCTTGAGAGTAAGGATGCTCTTACAGTACCTCCCACATACTTAGTACATTGTCTTGCCTGTAGCTTCTGCTTAGAACACACTGATTGAATAAGATAGATTTTTATGATTGTTCATCCTTTGTTGAAAGAATATTTTAAGTGTGAGGGAAAGCTACAGATAGGTGTTTATTATAATCCATATACTATACTTAATAAAAGCTCTTGGTAACTTAGTTTCTTGGTATCACAGTGCTGTAAGAATGAGTAATGCCATCCTTAATAAAATTTTAAATAAAAGCTATTGACAGATGAAATTAAAATCATTGGTAGTAATACCGCAATCTTTATCACGATGTAACCACAGGACTCAGCTTGTATCCTTCTTACTTGTATACCCAGGAAGTAAAAGAATGCATGTGAAAACACAAATAGAAGGTGGAAGCTAGATTTTTTCTTAATTTGGGAAAAAACACCTTGCTCGATGTGTATTTATGAGCAGTTATTTTAGCATAAGTTCTGTGAGAAACAGGAATTTGTCTCTCTTTCCCTCTCTTTTTAGGAACTTCTCGATGGAGTCAATGCAGTACTTGAATCTTGGTGGTAAAAATTACTTAAGTTAGCGTTAATGTTGGTGTAGGGGAAAAAGGAAATAAGTACATGTGGACCTCATTGAAATGAATTTTGTTTCCAAAGTAGTATCATAACAATTTATTGTGTGTTTTCTGGGTGCTAGGGCTTTAAAGCATTGTTAAATAAGGAAACTGAGGCTCAAAGAATTTAAGTAACTTGCCAAATAACATGTAAATGGTAAAAGGGCTCAAAGTGAAGACTGTTTAACATGATTCTGTGGCTAAATCTGTCTACTTCCATTTCCATAATCACTACTGTAAGCCAGTCCATTTTTGCTTGAGTTCCCTGTTAGCCTCCTCACTGGTTACACCTCCCCCCTCCCCTATTCTCCACATGATGACTGTTATCCTAAGTGACCTTCTGACAGCTTAAAAAACTCTTCAGTGGTCACACTTGGAATAAAACCCAGGTTCCTCAGTAGGCTCTTCACAGTTTTATCTTGTGTGGGTTTCTGAGGGATGACAGACAAACTAAAAAGTTACACAAGAGTAAGAATCTTTTCTATTTTGGTATTCTCTCCGGTGCTTGGTATGTAATGATAGCTGGTAAATATTTACTGAACAAATGAATGAGAACACTCCCCCTGGGCTATGTGTCTTAAGGTCTACTCTAAAGATTGCATTATATTGAGGTAATATATTGTGAATATAATGGGCAAATAGTATTTTACCTGATACTAGGTATTGGCAAATAGTGTTATACCTGAGAATGAGAAATAACACAGATCTCTAGAACTCGTGAAAGTCACTTCTATGCAATTACTATTGTGTATTGTTGTATCTGTTGTGATCATATCTGTTCTTGTATCTTGTGGTCATTGCATTTTATGCAAATTTTTCAGAGAGAAATTATTTAGTTGAAAATGTGTGTCTAGCATTATAGGCTTTAGATTTGCTCATTTTTAAAACATGTCTTGCTTCTAGTTAAGGTGCTATAATAATGGTTTGGCAATGCATGATTCAGACTGAAATTAACCAAAACTAAGACCAGGAATTTGTACCGAAATCATTTTCCTGCCTGGGGATAGAGGAGAGGGAAGCTGGAGAGTCTGTAACCATCCTATAATTTACCGAGTGGTATTATGAATTCAGGAGCCTAATGTCCATGCATTTCCTTCTTTTCTTTTTTTTTTCTCTCCCTCCCTCCCCCCTCTTTCTTTTCTTTTCTTCTTTCTTTCTCTTTCTTTTCTTTTCTTTTCTTTTCTTTTCTTTTCTTTTCTTTTCTTTTCTTTTCTTTTCTTTCTTGATTTATTTATTTGACAGAGGACAAGTAAGGGGAAGGCAGAGGGAGAGAGAGAGAATCAGGTTCCCTGCTGAGCAAAAAAGCCCAACGTGGGGCTTGATCTTGAGCTGAGGGCCAGATGCTTAGCCCACTGAGCCACCCAGGCACCCCTATCCATGCATTTCTAAAAATAGATTTCTGTGTGACCATCTATTTTAAAGATGACAAACGCCCTTGAATTGAGGTGTTATGGAATTCTAATTGTGTTTTACTTCAACGTTAGTAACTTAGTTTTTATCATTCTCACATTTCATCAAACTATCTCATGGAAAATCGAGATGTCTTAAAAGGTGAATATCTAGCCAAGTATTGTTTTACTTGGCTACATTTGGCATCTGAACTTGATGTGATTGCTGTCCCTGGCAATAGAGCCGTTAAGTATGACTTGATTTGTTAAATCCTAGAGTATATTTTCTGGAGTTTAATGGTTGCTTCTTGGGAGTTAAAAAAGACAATATTGGTTTAATTTGTCGTATGTATAAGTCAAATTTTTGCAACTTTGCAACAAGTTTCTGTAACATTTTCCAACCTTTACTGGGAAAGTTAGAGGTACAGTGTGCCTCTTCTGTAATTTTAACTTCTTAGGAGTCTAGAGGGATTCAATTTTACAGTGAAAATCTACAATTAGTCCCTATGATCCTCACAATGAATTCTTACCTGTCAGATTTTATTAATAGGTCTCACTAAGGCCAAAGCTTAAAACAGACCTACTCATTAGCTGTGATTAGACTAGATTGAGCACCTATGAAAAGTTAGGTTTGAAAATGTTTTTAAGGTATTAGACCAATCAGTCTATGAATATACATTAGAAATCTAATAGAAAATCCCATTTCTTGATTTGTAGATTTCACCCTAATTTGATAAGACTTGATAATGTCTGTTTTGGAGTTCTGGTATTGATAGTGAAGAACCACTAAGGGATAAAAAACAGAACGGCTCTACAGTAGAGATGTGCCCCACTTTTTTTTTTTTAATGAATTTGTGAATTTTACTGAATATAAGTGCTCAAAAAATATTTGATTCTGTCAGTGCCACTCATTACATTTTTGTTTGAAATTCTAAAATAAGAGCTTTTAATTCCATTCTGGTTTCTTCAAATTGGGAAAATTTTTATTTGAGGGTGATTTCCAGCTCTGATGAACTGGGATCTAGTCTTGTTTTAGTTCCAGTTTTGTAGTCTGTAGAATGGGTATGTCATACTCCAAAGAGTTGTTGCAAGGATTTAATGAGATAATGCACATGCAAATGCTTTGTAAATTGCTAAGTAAAATATAAAAGCAAGGTATTTGTGCTCTACATTGTTAGATCCAGACAGGTTCCAGATACAGAGTTCCTTACTACAGAAAATAATTTTTCTTGTTTCATAATATAAGTAGCATTTAAACTTTGAGGTGTCCATTCTAGTGAGGATTCTTTTGAGATAACCAAGTAATTCCGTATAAAAAGAAAGAAAAGTTTTCAAATTGTCATTGATTTATATTGTTGCCTTTGAAATGTGCTATAAGGTCATTTTCTTCTAGTCACATTTTATGGTCCAAAAATAAAGAAGAAAAATCATGAATTGAATAAGAGCTAAGTTTTTTTACAAAATGTTTTATTTTTTAAAATTTTTTTTAATTTTTATTTATTTATGATAGTCACATACACACAGAGAGAGAGAGGCAGAGACATAGGCAGAGGGAGAAGCAGGCTCCATGCACTGGGAGCCCGACGTGGGATTCGATCCCGGATCTCCAGGATCGCGCCCTGGGCCAAAGGCAGGCGCCAAACCGCTGCGCCACCCAGGGATCCCCAAAATGTT